GAATGGCCGACCTCCTCGCATCGCTTGGCGCTGGCAGCAGCAGCACCGCGCCGCCCGCGCCCTTGGCCGCCGCCCACCGCATGGGCCTCTCGGAAGACGACGCCGCCTTCTTGCTCGCGGAGGCCACGGCCTTTGCCGCCGGTCATGGCATGCTGGTCCAGGCGCCCGCGCAGCGCTACGCCCATCTCCCGTACTGTCTTCTCCCGGTCAAGTTTCCCAAGAGCCAATTCGACAAGGCAGGGACGACGTGCTTGCATGCACCAGGACTCAACGTCACAGCGTAGGGCGTCGCGCTCGGGCCACTCTTTGGCACGCTCGTCGACCGCATCAGCGAAGACCCCGACTGGCTACACGCGCAGTTGCAGAGCGTGCTCGCCGAAGATCCATTCACGCGCCGCCTCGTCGAGCTCTCGAAGAAGGTGCAAGCCCAAGGGTACGAGACGCCGCAGGACGATGGCGCCCCATCATCGTCGCTTGTAGCCGCGCCCAGCCCGCGTCGCTCGGTATCTTCCGCTCCGACTACATGCTGCATGACGACCCGCGCGACGCGAGCGCGGCCAAGATCCTCCAGGTATACGCCCCTTTCTCTCATGATCTTCCATACGATGACGCATACGGCGCAGGTCGAGCTCAACACGATCTCGGCCTCGTTTGCTTCCATGAGCTCCATGGCGACGGAGCTCCACACATACATCCTCTCCCGGTTTGAAGACGACATCCCGGCGCTTGCCGCGTACTATGGCACGTCGTCGCTGGCATCGCACTTGCCGTCCAACGCAGCGCTCCAAGCGCTTCCGGCGGCGCTCGCGGCCGCCCACGCGCACTATGGCCGCCCGGCGTAGGCCCTGCCATCGACCGACCTGGTGATCTCATCGACTTGCTTGTGTAGCGCGGTCGTGCTCTTTGTCGTGCAGCCCAACGAAAGCAACTCGGTCGACCAGCGCTGGCTCGAGTACACGCTCTGGACGACGCACAAGATCAAGGTCCTCCGCCGCACACTCTTGGAGGTATACTCTCGTACGAACATGGGAGGTTAGGAGCACCTCTGTATGTGTAGATGCACGCCGCGACGACGGACGCGACGACCAAAGCCCTCCTTGTCGACGGCAAGTACGAAGTGGCAGTCGCCTATTTTCGCGCCGGCTACACGCCCACCGACTACCCGAGGTAGCGCGGTACCTCTACGAACGGATGGCAGCAGCGGCCGCTGTAGCGAGCGCGAGTGGGCAGGGCGCGACACGATCGAGACCTCGCGCGCGATCAAGTGCCCCAACGTCACGTACCACCTCGCGGGCACGAAGAAGGTGCAGCAGGTGCTGGCCGACCCCGCGCAGCTGCGCCGGTTCATGTCGGACGCCGACAGCCGCGTCCTCGAGGCCTGCTTCACGGGCCTCTACGGCCTCGAGGCCACGTCGCCGACCTTGGCCCAGTACGAGGAGTTGGCGTGCGATTACCGTCGAACACTATTTCTATGTGCAGGATCCAGGCCAACGTGCGCGCCAACCCGCACGCGTACGTGCTCAAGCCCCAGCGCGAAGGCGGCGGCAACAACTTTTACGGGTAAAAACCGACGCGATTTAGTGTACGACGAGCTCACTGCGGAGCGTAGCGACGACGTGGTGGTCCAAATGGACAATATGACGCCGGCCGAGCTCGAGTCGTACATCCTCATGGACCGTATTGTGCCCCAGGAGACACCCGCAGTGCGTCACGCGTGTCGACGATGGCGCGTCATCTCATCGTTGCTTTGGCAATAGATTCTCGTGCGCAATGGCCAGGCCGTGGCCGGCGCCACGATCAGCGAGCTCGGCCTCTACAGCGTGAGCTTGTTTGAGCACGGACAGCCGCTCTTGAACGCACACGCGGGCCACCTGCTGCGCACCAAGGTACGCATATATTAGTGTATGCGTGTTGTTTCTGATGTGTCTTTTAGCTCTCGAGCACGAACGAAGGCGGCGTCGCGGCCGGCTTTGCCGTCCTCAGCTCCCCGTTCCTGGTCTAACCCTCAAAGCACGCATTGCGATCTCTTGTCGGTGTTGGTGGGATTACCGGTAGGATAGCGGAATTTACCGTCGAATTGTCGCATATTTCGTCGGGGCAACGCGATTTTCGGGTGTAAATCCACGGTCGAATTACCGAGGTGGGCAGGACCTCGAGTGGCTGTAGCCACTGACATGGCACGTGCAGCCGCGTTGGAAACGCGATTCAAGGGCGAAGGATCGATTCACCGCTTCATTTGGCGTTCCAGACCAAGAGACGCTGCCGACCAATGACCACGCCCACGACGACGACCAACTTGGTCGCCGTCTCGAGTACGGTCATGTATCGTCTGCATCTCTTGCGCAAGGATCAAAGACGACCACCTCGGGCAGTCAAAGCCAAGACGTCGATGGGCCTTGCAGCAGCCAAGCCGCGAGGTGCAACGCGTCGTACGGCGGCAGCAGGCAGCGACTCGGCCAACGCTCGACAAGGCATAGGTGGCGACGGGCCCACCTTCAGGACGCCGTGCGACGCTTGCTGCCGAGCTCGTGCGTCCAACTGCATCTCGTCTTGAAGGTGACCAAGCTCGCGCCGCCGTCGCTCCAAAACCTACGATGCGCGACCGCACCGGCGGGCCACGTCTGCCGCACGTCGCAACAAAGACTCTTCTTCTGAGAGAGCGGCTCACGTGGCCGCAGATCTGCGCATCGTTGGGCACTCGACCTTCTGCCGGTCGGCGTGCCATCGGGGCTGTCACAGGGTTTGACTCTTCGACGGCTCTGTGGAGCTCAAGGACACGGGTCGGAGATCGAGCTCTCCGGCGTAGCACTTGACAAAGAAGGCATCAACGATCGTAGACGCAGCGAGTGTCATCGTTCCCAGCCACTGGTCAACGATGACGGGCGCGATTATGGATGCTGACGCCAGCGCATCGCCTCCTATCTCCAGCTTTGACCATGCACGGAGCACCACCTCGTGGCTCCAGCTCTACTGCGAGAAAGTACGCTGCCATAACGGC